TTTTGACTTTAATTGCTCGTAACTCCATTAAAAATTGTCGTATCGTATAATTTAAAAAAGAGATTTTTAAAGTTGAAACTTTACTCTATCAAGATATATTTATATTGTTGGTAAGAAAGTAATTGCGGTTTTTACTGATAGATGTCTTTTAAAAAAACGCGATGACTTTTTACTACACCTAACATTTTACTGTAAACACATGGTACACGAACAGCTTGAATAATATTCAACGCATTAATATTTAAGAATATATCTTACCACTTTGTTATTTATGTAGTTAATTGTATGGTACAACTTCTTTCAAAGAACGTAAAAAAAATAGATGAATCGTATGTTGTGAGATGTTCTTACGAATGCAAGGTACTAATGATGCATGCGACTGTACGACGCTGTCTCTTGCTTTTACAATATTATCTTGTGATAAGCATAACAACAGGTTCTTGACAAAATAGCCCAATGTGTTTTGAAATAAACTTCAATTAACGGCAAAAGTAGATTCACAATATGCGGTATGAGCGTTAGCGACAATAGTTATGTAGTATACTATTATGTAAATTTAATCGCACGAGATTGTAAGTGGTTTTATATAGAAATCTCCCTTAGAGAGGAGAGAGAGAGAGAGAGAGGGGGGGGAGGGGGAGCGGGAGAGTCGATATAAAATTGCACGATCGTACGGGATACCCGGGATACCTGATGCGTGTAATAGTCCTCCGGCATTTTCCCGCGCTAAATCGCATGCCGGATACGGTGGATAAGGAAAAGATCGGAGGTTCTAAAAAAAGAGAACAGCACGAGGAACAATCACAAAGTAGGTATTTACACACGGAGGCGCGCGGCGCCCTTAAAGGGAGGGTAGAGCCCTCGCGCGCGAGTAAAGGTCCTTTTTATGCGTGCGGTCGCAAAGGCAGCGTAAAATTGAGTTACAGGGCAGTTTATTTTTTTATTAGCCGACTCGACCTCATCGCGCGCGCGCGGCCGATCTTTCTCGACGCGGAAAGGGTAGTTTTTGCGGCCGACGGATTTCCCGATAGCGGTTTTATGGCGTGTCAACACGCCCTTACACGCGCCTGCATGCGGCGAATAAAAAAAAACAGCGCACGCGATCGTCACGCTAAATCGAAGAGATCAAGAGCAACTCTTAGCAAGAGAGAAAGGAGAAAATGTAGAGCGAAAAAGAGAGAAGGGAGAGAGATTTTCGATTTTAAAACCCTAACTTGACCGACTCTCGATACGGCTGTATCGTCGTCACGCTGATAAGTCCGCGCTTAATCGAGCCCATTTATCACGTCGCGTAACTTTATTTGAGATCTTTTTACAACGAACAAACTATTTTAGTTTCTCAATATATATATATACTCGATATACGTATAAGCCTACATAAACATTATAAACAGTTGAGACTTTGAAGATTACTTGTATTTTTTATTTTTGAATGTGATAATAACCGTGATATTTATCCAATTAATTCTTCATCCGTTCGTTGCGCGAAAGACGTGAAATCAAACGCGAGAGATTGAATTCTTGAAAGCGATCATCTTCGCAGCCACCGGCCGGAGAAAACGTTAAGGGGATAATGAGGACAGGCAGCCAGGCACAGGGTGGTAATAAGGTGGCTTGGAGCGGCTGGGATGCTAGTCACGTTTCCAGCCGCTGACAGCTGCGGCTTATACGTATGACGTGGTATCAACCCCAAATTTCCCCGACTAGACACGTCGTGTCTTCGCTGCCCTAAGACCCTGGAATGCACTCGAGCCTCCACCTGTCACACTATGGCGAATGTACAGTATGACGCGCGAGGTTTGACTCTTTGAGTCTTCTCGGAAGAAGGATCGCGCGACTAATCATCCTTCTCTGTATTACACTTATCACCGTCTAATCGCCGAATCAAATTAATTTTATCGATCATTTATTCACGATTAAAGGCATTTAAGTGCGATTAAAGTACTATTACTTTCGATAGTACTCTCTCTCTCTCTCTCTCTCTCTCTCTCTCTCTCTCTCTCTCTCTCTCTCTCCCCCTCTCTCTCTCTGTGTTAATTTAAAATATATTTCCTTAAAATCAGAACATTTTAGATAAAAAAAAACGAATAAGAGAGTAATGATGAGAGCATATATGGAATGGCTGTATCATAGGACACAGAGAATAATTTTGCTCGAAGAGACCTTGATTTCAGCATTTGAGTCATCACCCCTCGCTTCGTAATTATTGATTTTCCGTGCTGCCCTAACTCCCCTAACTTTGTAAAGAGCAAGACAGAGAAAGCGAGAGAGAAAGACAGAGATAAAGAGAGAAAGGGAGAAGAACAGCGTAACCAAGAGAGTCGAAAATGCCTTTTGTCCCCTTTCGAAACGTATAACGCACGAGCGGTAACCCTACCACGACTTACGATTACTATCTCCGTCTATAATTTAAAGAGTTCCAATTTTTATGCGCACATTTGTATTTCGTAACATAAATTTCAAAACACCATTAATCTTTTGATATCTTTTCAAAATGCAGTACATCTTAATTTTGAAGCTGCGTTATTTATATTTATTTCTCCCTATAATGTATATTTTCTTTATAAGATTACTGGCCCTCATCAATATATATATATTAAAAAATTCAGTTGCACAAATTTATATATGAACATTATCATGCATCGCTTGACCGAAGATAAAACTCTTTCTCTTATTTGATTTATTTTTATCAATTTAAATTTTATTTATAATTGAGTAGTTATAATAGACGATATTAATATCAATTTAAACACTAATATTTTTCAGAACATATAAATGAAAACATTTTATCCGACTGAAAAAATAATTTCAGCATCACTAACAATATTATCGTTTTGATAAATTATATATTTTCTCCCCTTTATATATTTATTTTTATTTTTCAAATTTATAATTCGAAAGAAAGCCTACAAGAAATTTCATCCAGGATAATTGACCGGAACAAAAGTAGTTTCATTAATATCAATTTAAGAACATATTTAGGAACACATTGTATATCATAACGCGACAGACAAGAAATTCTCACCTCTGCCGAGACTGGACGGAGACATAGACATTCCCGGCCTGCTACTATCGAAGGTGCCGGGTCTCTCTGGCATTTTCATGACATTGTCCTGCTGGCCGTTCGTCGAAGGTACATCAACAGCGACTGTCGGACTAGACGTAGTAGTGGTCGTCGACACGGTTGTAATGGTTATGCTGGTGATGCTGTTTGCATTAGGATTCCCGGCAGGATTCGTAGTACTGTTGCTGTCATTAGCGCCGTTGTTCCCGTTGGTGGTTTTATTACCGACCACCCCATTGCCGTTCGCATTCGCGGTGTTGACATTACTCGCACTGCCGTTGTTCGCGGCGGTGCAGCTGCTAACAGCGGCAACACTCACCACTCCTTCCCTCGCGATATCCTGGATCGCACTGGCTGCTCTGGAGCCCACTCCCGCGGGCTGAAGGATTGTATATTGTTTCGAAGAATCGGGACTCGTGACGGAAGGTGGTGGACCGCCGGTAGGACTCTTACTGGGAGGTACAGAATTGGTAGCTACGTCGTGGGTTGTCACATGATGACTTTCCTCCTTCGAGGATTTCAGTTGTAAGAGTGACACTGTAGATGAGTGCTTGTCATCGGCTGTGGGCGAGATACCGGATACAGGCTGCGGCGTTGGCATCGTCGGGCCAGGCGTCGGATATCCCACGAATGTGGCAGCGGCTGGATACGGACCGATTGGTGGGATCGTTGAAGATGCTGGGACCGACGAAGAGCCACGACACGATACTTTTGAGTGATCCGTATTAGGCGGTCTAAAAGCAGATGTTGCTGAAAACGGAGAATTCGCTGGTGTCGTTGAAGATGATGAAGTTCCCGTAGATGAGACCTTCATGTTGGTATCGTTATATTGTCTTTGATAATTCGTGTAAAGCTGTTGGTGCTGCTGCTGCTGCTGTCTGCTAATATTTTGAGGTGATTGACCGTTTTTGCATGTTCGATCCCGTTCTCGGTCATTCGATCTGTCCCGATCGCTTTCATCCTTGTCAACGGCCGGATCCGACATGTCAATTTCTAATTCGTTGGACGAATCATCGACTAATTCGTTGAAGTCCGGTGGATCGTATCTAGAATATTTGTCCGGTTGCCTTCCCTGAGGGTCAATATGTGTACTCACCACGTTCCTCTCGTTCCTTTCTTTGCTTGACAACGAGCGAACGGAAATTGGTCTAATTTTCGGCGGTTCGTTTTGATTAACGTTGTTGACTTGAGACTGAATGTTGGCGCATTCATTTTCTATCTTCAGCAGATTGTCTAAATCTTTCTTAATTTTAGTTGGATGCTGTTGTTTCGAATCCTGCTGCTTATTCTGCTGTTGTAACTTACCCGATCGATCCTGTTGTCCGCGAAGAGTTATAACATCCTTCAACGAACAACAGCCAGTGTCATTACTCGTGGTCGAAGACGTTGATATTGATGAGGGCGACAATTTAGGATTTTCTTTCTTTTCCTCAAAAAGATTTTCGAAGTTAGACTCGTATCTATCCTCGTCTGAATTGCCTCTTTGATATAGACATCCTCTAGGTCCCGGCCAGCTGCCCGATAGACTTTTCAAGGCGGCTTCCGTTTCTCTTATGAGAGTTTCATCGTCTTCGGGTTCTTCGCTGTGCTTGCTCGATTTCCTGGCAGGACTACCCGAGTTACCTGTTGTAAATGCGCGCTTCTTCTGGGGCAAAGGTATATTTTTGTTAGGGTCAACAACATCGATCGTCTTTCGTATGTCATCGTCACGAACGCTTTTCCTCCTCCGCTTCGTCGCGGCGTCAGTCATCTCCATCTCTTGCGACGTGCTCGTCTGCAAGCCCTTCTTGCCGATCAACAATTGCTGCTGCGACTGTTGCGACGGCTGCTGCGTTTGTTTAGGATTCTGCGCGACCGACTCTGCTTCCAGTTTCCGCTTTTTGAGATGAGCCATCGCATTCTGTCCGCCCGGCACGTTGGTCAGTTCCACCCTGGAACACAAAAATTCCAGAGGATCAGCAAGTCTGCTCTGCCATGCGGACACAAGAGACGCAAGGGTGCGTTCAGTACACGAGTGCAAAATCGTCGATTTCGAGGCCGGCGCAATCTAACAAGAAAGGTAATCCATCTCGCTCTAGGATCTAGGCTCTTTCGTTAGGGAAGGATCCTCAGCGCCTGCCACAGGTCACTTTTCTTTCTCCCTTCGTCATCTACTAAACAGCGCGTTCAAAGTCTAAGGGACTGTCTTTCAAGAGAGTTCACCTGACATCTGCCAAAGACTATCGAGTGCGTAGTCACGAGTTTCGAAGAATCAGTCTATGCAGCTGAGATGCATCCGTATTTCTCCCTTTCTCTTTCTCTTTTTCTCTGTCCTGGTGAACGATCGCTCGGCTCTTTTCGTGATATTTATCTTTTTCTAGCGGGGCACACTCTATCTTGCTTCGTTCTTGCGGCGGACTCGAGATATTTAGACAAGCACTGCGTGACACGCACGCGCGC